ACAGTCCCACGTTAATAAGAACAATAAAAGAAAAATACAAGTACCTTAAAAAGTTCAAGACGTATGGAAATAAGTCAGATGAATTGGCGTTTAAACTCCTCCGAGCGCGAGTTAAAATGATGGAGTCTGAATGTTATACGTCCTATTTGGAGCTTACTGAGGCATCAATCAAGATTAATCCGAAACACTTCTGGACATTTGTCAAAAACCGTCACAAATCTAACTCGATCCCTAGCTCCTTAACGTACAATAATCATACTTTGCTTACAGGGGAATCAATATGTGACGCGTTCTCTACTTATTTTGAATCAAATTTTCTTAAAAAGTCTTCAAATACAGTCGATAACAGTCGTAAATCCAGGTATTCTCTCTCTACTTCCGACCTATGTAAAATCACAATAAACGTTGACTACGTTGGTGACTTAATTCGAAAGCTGGATACATCCAAGGCCCCAGGACCGGATAACATATCTCCAAAACTTCTTGTGCACTGTGCATCATCTCTTGCCCAACCTATTTCTATAATCTTTAAGAATTCCTTGTCCTCTTGTTCTGTCCCAAAGGTGTGGAAATCATCTTTCATAACACCTATCCACAAAAAGGGTGCAAAAACAGAAGTCACTAACTATAGACCTGTCTCTAAACTCTGTATAGTGGCTAAAGTTTTTGAAAAAGTAGTCTATGACCAGGTATACTCAGCCCTAAAAAATTCTTTCAGTCCTTCGCAGCACGGTTTCTTAAAGGGCAGATCTACTGTCACTAATCTTGCCTTACTAAATGATTTTATCACTGACACTATGGACAAAGGTAAGCAGGTTGATGTGGTCTATACTGATTACAGCAAGGCCTTTGACCGTATAGATCATGATATCCTCCTATTAAAATTAAATGGCATGGGTATCCATGGTGACTTGCTGCGGTGGTTTTCCTCGTATTTGGAGAATAGAACTCAAGCTGTAGTTCTCAATAACTATATCTCTGGCTGGGTGCCTATCTCCAGCGGCTGTCCTCAGGGGTCGTTGCTTGGACCCCTTCTATTTACGATATACGTGAACGACATACAATTATGCTTTAGATCATCGAGACTCCTATGTTTTGCTGACGATATGAAAATTTTCGCAGCGATCTCATCACTTGAGGATATGACCGCGCTTCAAGCTGATTTGACTCGTTTGGAGGAGTACTGTCGAAACAACAAGCTAGATCTGAATGCTACAAAATGCTCGGTGGTGACATATTCGCGAAAGCGATCCGCTATAGCTACAGCCTATAAGTTAAACGGTGATTCGCTGCCTAGATGTGCTTCCGTCCGGGATCTGGGTGTCACGCATGACTCGAAGCTGATCTATGAAGAACACATAGATGCAATCGTTGCCAGAGCTTCTAAAGCATTAGGATTCATAATGCGACTGTCTAGGGGCTTCAAACAGGCAAAAACTTTAAAAATTCTGTATTGCACCTTTGTTAGAAGCCATTTAGAGTATGCATGTGAAGTTTGGAATCCTTGCTACCAAAAATATGTGGACCGAATTGAGAATATCCAGAGAAGGTTCATAAAATATTTGTGCTTTCACCAGAAAGTACCTTATCACTCGGAAATTTACTTTGACCTTTGCAAGAAGTACCATTTACTACCCCTTACAACGCGTCGTGAAATCGCTGATTGTACCCTATTATTAAAAATTTTTAGTAACGAAATTGACTGCTGCGAACTTTTATCTAAGTTTAATATTAATATACCGTCAAGAACTCGCTATAACCCACCGCTGAGTGTACCATTTGCACTGACGAACTATAGAAAAAATTCTTTTGTTATTCGTTCAACTAGAAGCCTCAATAATGTGTGTGAACAATTTGGAATTGATATTTTTAATGTTAGTGTAACGGGAGCGAGGAGGTGTTTAAGCCTTAAATTCTTCAGGGGTGATGGTGGGGGGTCTGAGTAGTTATTGTTATGGGTCCTGTCTGTTTTGTGTGTATATTATTACGTTCTGTGTAATTTGTGAGTGATCTGTGCCTGTAACTTATATAATACCTCTTGATCCTATTCTGTATTGTCTTATGCACTGTAACTTATCTCTGATTTATATAAGTGAGGATTTGTTATTGGCTATCTGTTTTCTTGACTGTTTTTATTGTAATCATCATAGCTGTAAATCCTCCATAGTTGTAATAAATAAATAAATAAATAAATAAATATAATAATATTCGGACATCTGACACAGGACACCATCTACTTAGTTTTAAACTAAGCAGAGCTTGTACTATGAAAGCTAGATTGATTAATACAAATAAATAAATACATATTATACAAAGAAACGAATCATATAAACATTTGGTCTGACCCGGGAATCGAACCCAAGACCTCAAAACAGCAGTCGCAGTCAATCGAATTTTCTTCGCGTATTAACATATTAAATGAAATTAAATTAAAAAGTTTAAAATTAAACTTAAAACTATCCACTGAAGACACAAAAGTAGTTGCTTAAGTACACGTGGGTATTAAGCAACTGTTTTTGTTGATGAAAATTAAAAGTTTCCCAGAGTTCCTAACGACCCTCTTGGAATTTTTAGCCTGTACTAAGAATATAAACAAAGGAAAATAAATGAACCTATCTAGTTTTTAACACGCCTTTATTAACTTCTTTTGTTGCTAACTTTGTTATATGGTTTTTATTAGGTAAGCGAGATTAAAACTATAGTTGGCATTTAATACGACTCTACAGGTAAATTAGCTTGGAGAAATTTTTGCGTTTGTAGTAGTGTATGGTTTTGCGTGTTTCCACTTTCCACTATCAAGTGACGATTTTTTGCTTTGGATTGAAATATCTCGGCAACGGTGCGTCCTAGGCCAAAAATATCAAAAATTTTGACCCCCCCGTAGGCCCCCCGGAGTTTTAAAAACCTAGACTAAAGGAAAAAAAAAAATTAAATATCGGTCTCTCCTCTTTGAAGTTTCACTTCTATCGTGTGTGAATCGCACACACACCTTTTTTTTTATAAAGTCAAAACCTTTTCCTTTAAAATAAAAACTTGTTTTTATTGAAATCAAAAATCAGAGTGTTGCTAGGGATAAGTATAAAATTAAATAGTAATGTTAGGATATCGAAACATTTTTGTATAGGCCAGAACGATATAGTGGAAACGCGCTCTAAGATCTGAGTAATATACACACCACTACATATGCAAAAATTTCTCGAGACTAATTTCACTGTACCTGGCTCTTCGGGGAATACTCGTATTGTGAGGGTATAGCGTATAGCGGTTTACTAAGATGGTGAAACAGTCATGGAGTCGTGTTAAAATGGAATATCTGATCTATATTGACGACCGGGTGGCGTTGTGGTTTGTGTAACTGACTGCTATTCCAAAGGTCGCGGGTTCGATTCACGCTCAAGTCAAACATTTGTGTGCATTAACTTTTAATGTTTGATTTGGTCTGGGTGTTTCTAATATGTATGTATTTACAAAGTATTTCTGCTTAGTTTGGGACTAGATGGCGTTGTGTGAATGTGGTAGGATATTATTGTTATTATATTTTTACTAGCTGACCCGGCAAACGTCGTTTTGCCATATACATTATTTCAAAAAAAGTTGGCGTATAAAAAGTAGATGTTGGCCGATTCTCAGACCTACCCAATATGCACACAAAATTTCACAAAAATCGGTCAAGGAGTTCAACCATGCACACCGTGACACGAGAATTTTATATATTAAATCTGAAGGTTTCCAGTGAATTATGTTCAGTTTTATTTTACAAAACATAAAGGCTGAAATCATTAATATCTTACAAGCTTTTGCCCGCGTGTATGTCGGTTTTCTCGGTAAAAGGAAGCCTATGTCACTCGCTAATAATGTAGCTTCCCATTGGTGAAAGTATTTATAAAATCAGTTTAGTGGTTTCGGCGTGAAAGCGTAACAAACAAACTCACTTTCGTATTAATAATATTAAGTAAAGCAATAGCTTTAGCTTATATCTGTGGCTCCGCCCGCGTGTATGTCGATTAGCGCGATAAAAAGTAAGGTACTCGCTGATAATGTAGCTTTCCATTGGTGTTTTATTTTTAAAGATAACGTGAAGACAAACAAACAAACTCGCTTTTACATTTTTAATAAAAGTATGGATGTGTATTTATGGCGTGTTATAAAAGATTTCAACACTGAAAAATATGAAGTTGAATGCTAAAGAAAAGAGAGACATAAATACAACTAAAGTAATAAATAATAGGGGTGTTGATGTCCGCCAGGCTCGGGAACGGGCCAGGTACCGCAGACGACTCAGGCGCCGGAGGTCGCAGAACGACCTCCGTCCTCCATAAGCGCAGGCCTGGGGGTGACAGGTGAGGCCATCTGTCACCCGAACAGAAGCAGGCCGAGGTGGCGGCGAGCGCGTTACGAAGCGCGCGCGCCCTTTCGGGAGCACAGAGGGAACATGGGGGTTCCCACACAGGGGGGGTCGTCTACCCGCCGTAGATGGCCCGAGGTACGTCGGGGCACCAAGGATTTCCTTTCTAGGGTACACCTGGTTCCCCGACTACTGGTACGGTAGACGGCGTGCGGTTTTAGTCGGTTCGAGTCCGACATTGCCACCGGTAAGTGGTATCCGAGGGGATTTCCGCACAGAAAAAAAGGGGTGTTGATGAATTAGTCTAAACAGTTTTTTTTTAATAAGAATTTTAGAGGGTTTTTAATAACGTTTTTTTTAATTGACGTACTTACATAACTACTTATTAGCTACAAATGATACTAAAATCATCATCATCATCATCATTAACAGCTTTTAATAGTCCACTGCTAGACATAGGCCTCTCCTTAGAAAGGAGGTTTTGGCCTACTATACCACGCTGGCCAGACGGGTTGGTATGGGGTTTGTTTCAAGTTTTCCTTCTTTTTGCACTAGTGTCCTGCGTTGTTTTGCGCCCTTAGTCGGCTCTTAGGACACCCACGGGCTGAATTGGGGTAGTGACATTCCGTATTACACGGACAAGTGGGCTCAGCTCATGTGGGCTCTTCAAATAGTTCTCACGGCTCCATATCCTCTAGTGGAAATAGACGAAATGTTCGTGACGACAGGGCCTGAGGGTGCGGGGGCTAGCCGGCTGACGGCCATGCGACGTAATGAATGCGCAGTTACCATAGAAAACAGAAGGCGCAAACTCCTGTTAGTTTCAAGTGCGTGTGAGGCCTCCATCCACATGGCAGGAATTGTCGCCGCGTTAGACAGGATTCTCAGGACCCCAACACCACTTAAAGTGGTGACGGATCAGTGGTTGGCAACGCGCATGACAGCGACGAATGTTGACTGGGCTGTAATAGACGAGATAGGCGCATGGCTCATGATGCGATTTATACCACAGCCCGAAGTTTACCACGACGTGGCGAGGGAATCTGAGACACACTGGCTCCCCCCCGCCTACAGAGATATCACCTACGCGACACACACGCTCCCCGTCTGCATCACAACAGCTGATGAAAGCGAATTCTACTACCATGACCACGCTACGACCTTCAACGACAACGTATTTGTTGACAGAGCGACAGCGAATCGGGTACCTGCCCTGAGGGTCGGGGCGTGGACTAATGAGGCCGAACTTATTACGGGGCTGGAGATCGCCACCTACGCACACGTGAGAGGGGAGCACTAGGCGGGGAGGAAGGTACCGCACTGGCACTTGACGATGTTGAGCGTGTGATGCTTAAGCGCCGGCTCTACGAAGAATGGAAGAGGGGTGTAGGGATAGGGGACCAGCCTGTCAGCCCCGAACTCATGGATACTAACCGTTCCTTTTGGGACACAGTAGTTTACGGGGCGGGCGAGACATCTGATTCGGTGTCCTCGGTGGGGGAGTACGCACTGGGGATACCCGACAGGAATCAGCTCTCGTGGTAAGCGAACGCCCAAGCTCGTGACGTGATGACGACAATGACGGGGATTCGGACTCCCCTCGCCCTAAACTTAAGTGATGTCACGGAGAGGGGACGGTACGAATTGGTTGAGTCCGAGAAGATAAGACATATGCAGGGTGTATCCGGCCACTGGTTAGAAAACAGGGTGGGCCACGAAGGCCTCGAAATAATAGACTGCCCTAGCCTGGAGAAGGCTTTAAACGGGCTAAACTTGCTTGAACTTGGACCTGATGACATACGGATGTGCGTGAAGTCGAACAACATCGAGGCTCACGCATACTCCTACAGAATCGACACCGCTATTATGACGCTGGTGGGATTGGCCTGCGGTTGGACGAGTAGCTTTAGGCCGCTCACGAACGACATATAACAGGCGCCACCTTTCGGGTGGGGACTACGTGTCCACTCGAGGAATTTCCAGGCCGGGGAATACTCGGTCGTGACACTGTCCGCCTCTGCAATGGGCAACCTTGAGGTGGCCTACCTGACACAGGCTAAGGGTTGGCATGCGCCCTGGAGGGCGTCCACCTCGGTAGGGACCTCGAGCGCACACCTTCACTCGAAACTGACAGTGGGGCCTTTGCGCCCCAGGCCGGGAAGAAGCTCACACGACAGTGGAGGTGTGGAAAAACTGGATTTTCTGGGAGAGGCGCCCACATCGCCGCCCGATGCCCCCACTGTTCCTGGGGTCGTCGCGAATGTCGGCGCCGCCCCGGCCCCGCCCATCACGAAGCCAGGGGCTTCAGCAGAGGCGGCAGAGAGGAACGCGGACCACCTCGCGGCGCAGGACGCACAGTAAATCTTGTCTCCATAAAAGAAATTACACCCGACTGGGAATGGACGCCGGGCATGTACCACGACAAGCAAAGGGACTTAATATCTGACTTAACATACTGCTGCGGGGAGAGGAGATGGGAGGCACCCATGACGAAGTTTAACAACAACCTCAAGAGGTACAGGTAACCGAAAACTCACAAATGTACGGGGTGTGTACTCCCGGGAGGGACAATAGAAGAGGGGCGAATAACGGCCCGTCTGCACCCGGGGCGGAGGGCTCGCCTTGTGATATCGGAATACCACCGACTCAGGAACCTAACACCTGACATATGCCCACATAATTTAGAGTCCACGGGATGGTTGAAGCTCGGTGGCCCTTTCATATATAAAGAGTGGCGTCTGTTGACGTACTGGGAGACGTACAGTGGCTATGTGGCGCCTGTGGATATGGACTCGTCACGAGATAACTTAGACGACTGGCTCACTGTCACCAAACACAACGGCGAGAGAGTGGGCGAAGAGAAGTACATTAATGACATCATACAAGAAACATGTAAATTTATGGCGGAAGAGCGGTCCCTGCCCGACAACCTACCCACAATGAAAGAGTGGGTTGAGAGCGGCGTGTGGATGCGTGGGAAGGCTGTCACGGGACGCAACACTATGATCAGAATAGAGGGAAAAGAGAAAAGGACTAGGCGCTACAAAGGTGTAGACGCGGCATTAAAGAGTGACAAAGAAATTATCAATGAATTACTGGAACCCAGAAAAGAGGAGATGAAGATAATGCAAAAGAGCGAAGGTGGAAAGGTGAGGCCCGTGGTGGTGGGGGGCAATGAACTGTATCGTAAGATGGACTTCCTGTCGGGCTTGGTCGAAGTAGGGTTGTATGGGTCTAAAACCAGTACACTCTTCGCGGTCCCGGCGGCCAACGAAGCAATAGATAGGGAATGGCTTGATGAAGTCAGGAATAGTAGTACGTTGAAGGTTCCTCTCGACTAATCGAGTTTTGACAACAATCAATCAAAGACCAGCATACTTCCGTTTTTGATTGGGATGGAACAGCATATAATGTCACACGCTGCCGTCCCCGAGGAGTACAGAACAGTTTGTAATAACATGTGGGAGACTTTCACCGTCGCGGGAGTGAGCGTCCTAATGGGTAACGACACACCTCCCAACTGCACCCAGTTGGGAGAACGGTGTACCATCGGGATGGCGGTGGACCGCGTTGATAGACACCGTACTGAACATCGTAAGTTTTCGTATAGCGACTCGATATTGTGCAGAATACTATAACATCGCTGTACCGGTTGGGAAAACTACTATGCAGGGGGACGACGTTATTTTCACTACCATGTCAGTCAAGGCTGTCGAGGCTTTGGTGGCCATGTACCAAACTCTAGGATACAAAGTACATCCCCACAATAAAATATATCTCTAAGGACAGGGGTGAGTTCCTACGGCGTAGCTACGAGAAAGTAGGCATAACAGGTTACACCCCCAGGATCCTACTTGCATTGCGTTTCCGCAGTCCCATCATCCCGATCCCCATAGCGCCAGCCGAGCGCCTGTACTCCCGGCTGGCGCTGTGGACACTGGCCAGGCAAAGAGGTGCTTGCCCCGATAGTTGTGCACAAATGTACCTCGAAGATGCGACTCAAGCGGAGATAGACGATACTAAAATATTATAGACTATTTAAAATTGAGCCATATCTTTGATTTTCTAAAAAAAAGTATAGAGAAAATGCATATTTCAATAAGAAATTAAAACGGAAAGCCAGTGACGGCCTTCCTCATAAACTTGAAGGAATGTCAATGTCGTCTGCGTACGTCACAGAAGTCAAGACATAACCTGCCAATTTCCCTGACAGAATGGATTCTGTTCTGCAATCACAATGTTTTACTAGATGTGTCATTAGTAGTAATCTTTAGTAAAACTATTTATTTTCAAGTAATTTGAATTTCATTTCCAATTATATACCCATTAGTGGACCTGCGCACTTTCGTCAGCATCTCTTGAAAGGAATATTTTTTTCTCTTTTTGCATGATCTTTCATTGATGCTGGGCTCCTATAGGTCTCACATCACACATCATCAGTCTTTAATAGTCCACCGCTGGACATAGGCCTCTCCCCAGAAAGGTGGCTTTGGCGTACTATGCCACGCTGGCCAGACAGGTTGTTATAGGGTTTGTGTCAAGTTTTGCGGGTGGCCCTGGATAAGACGGAGGCCCTATTATTTCATGGGCCCCGTCGTGGTCCATCCATGGTGGGTAATTATTCGATTTAAACCACTGGTTTCTAAGATTAGCGCTTTCAGCCAAACAAAAAAAAACAAACTCCTTAGCTATATAATATTAATATAGTAACACTCACTTCTATATCCCTAAAGGAGTATTAAACGTAGATACTACTACTGTTTTAAAAAAATATTGTCGTCAAGCAGGCACTTCCCAAAATTTGTATTGGATATTAGATGTACATGAAACCTATAGATACCTAGACAAGAAGAGCAGGCAATAGTAGGAACGGAAGTACCTAAGGGCTTTTTGGGTTGCAGAGTAAACAAAGTTCCATTGAAAACAATAGAACGGGCTCCCCAGAATAAGCTAAGGTCTCCCCTATGGCGGTCCATTGGGGCGGGTTTTTGTTTTAACACTACATGCTCCTAGCTACTAGCCGGAGATCCGAAGGAATTTTCCACTGCGTCAACAAAAAGGGTAACTAAACAGTATTAGCCCAGGGACCCATAAATTCACGAGGTGGGGGAATTAGAGTTCTAAGATTTGTGTACACAATTATTTAAAAGTTTTTTTTATGATATAGTGTTTCAGTTCTGGTAACTTTAATCACTCGGTGAAAAATAACGAAATAATTACTTAACAGCGGTTTTCAGTGAGGCTATATTGTTAAGCCAGTGGGACCCCTCCATTTGTACCGTAGCATGGAATTCCCACAGAGAAAAAGCTAACAAAGTTGTGTAAATAAAAACTTCAATTCAAATCCATTGTCTGTACATCTATGTAAATTATAAGTAAAAGAAAATTGCACGACGGCGGTTGGGAGGAAATGACACTGTGATGGTTTAGCCCGAGAGGCTCACTTCCCTTTCCTAAGCACCGTCATATCATGCTGTTGTTAATGTAACGACATGGGAGCTTAATAGATGTTCCCATAGCATTATTTTGTCTTACACACAGTATAAACAAAAAACCTGGATATAAAAACGGGGGAATAATTCCGATAAGATATTTTCTACTTACCTCGATATTCGCCTACATATGTAGATTATGTATTTATATATAGCGAAAATATTAAACACCGAAGATAACCATAAACGATATTAATAATTTTGGTCAAATATTAAAAAAAAATATGCTTTCTTGGAAGACCAAATTAAAAAGTTCTCCCGATGGTTACCCACACCACTTGTGTCAATCAACTTGTATTTACAAAAAACGAAACTCTAAGCTAAATATTTGTCCAATGTTACTTTATAACTGCAAAAGGTGCCTTAAAACACTAACGTACAAAGAAACTGAACTGATTTAAACCAGAGACAACTTACATACGCACACACCTACATATACACATCACAGGTACGGACACAAAGTATGCTTATAATTGCAGATTTATTGTAAAATAGCTATTGCCTGCGGCATCGCTCGTTTGATTATTTCTTAATTCGTATGTCTGACTTTAAAAAGGACGAACTTCCGTTCATCACTTTGATAAACTTAATTTCCTATATGCACGACAATATGGTTTTCGACAAAAATCAAGCACTCTTACTGCGGCAGTAGACTTGATAACGAAAATTAGTACAAAAATCGACAATAAGAATTTGTGTTTAGGTATATTTATTGACTTGAAAAAGGCTTTTGACACCGTTTGTCAATCTTTATTACTAGCTAAACTAAGAAATATAGGGTTGTCGGGATCAGCATACGGTATATTCCAATCGTACCTCGAAAGCAGATCGCAAGTGATGCAAATAGGTAAAACCTATAAAAGTGCTCCGCACCCTATTTCATGCGGTATCCCGCAGGGCTCAGTAATTGGTCCATTATTGTTTATAATTTATGTTAATAATGTAAGTGGGATCAAGCTGACAGGGCAGATAACATTGTATGCGGATGACACGTGTCTTTTTTTATTTTGGGAAAAATTTAGCACAACTGGTAGACCAAGCGCAATTAGATTTGGACCTATACAGTACATGATGTCAGTGTAATCTACTAACTATAAATACAAGAAAAACTTCGCACATGATTTTTAGTGCCATAAACAAAAAAGTATCAAACTATCCAGCTTTATCGATTAATAACGAATTAATTCACAGATCCCATCAGGAAAAGTATCTCGGTCTAATTTTGGACAACAAATTAACGTGGAGACCCCACATAGAAGAAATAAAAACCAAATTAACACAAATGACTGGTGCATTGCGTAGAATAGCTTCTTGTATATCATCTAAAACACAATCAATGCTATATAACGCGCGTAGTATGTTTGCATGTCTGTGCACTGGTAATAAAAGGCTCGAAAAGTTAAAATTATTTTTTACTTCCATCAACTTTAAAAAATTATTTGTAGTTAAATAAAAACTTTTTTCAGTCGTTTCTCTTCTGTATTATACGAGGGCGGGTCAATAAGTCCGTGACTTTTGGAATAAAACACAGATTTTTTGATAAATAAATCATTTTATTTTTCAACGTAGTCTCCCTTGAGCTCTATAAACTTTGTCACACGCTTCTCCAATTTTTTTATTCCTTCCAAAAATATGATTTGTGGAGGTCCTCAAAATAGGCCTTTGTTTGCGAGATGACTTCATCATTGGAGTCAAATCTTTTTCCACCAAGCCATTTCTTCAGGTTTGGGAACAAGAAGTAGTCACTCGGAGCCAAATCTGGAGAATAGGGCGGATGAGGGAGCAATTCATAGCCCAATTCATGGATTTTTGCCATGGCAACTGCACATGTGTGCACCCTTGAACTGAAAAGAACTGTTTTCTTGGCCAAATGAGGTCGGTTTTTTTTCAAATCGTCATTGAATCGGTCCAATAAGTTGGCATAATATTCCCCATTGATTGTTCTTCCCTTTTGAAGGTAGTCAATGTGGATTATCCCACGTGCATCCCGAAAGACAGTCGCCATGTGTTGCCATGTTGTGATGGATCCATGTTTCGTCCACGGTTACAAAACGGCGCAAAAACTCCTCCATATTGCGATTAAACAACGCCAAACCTTCCTGTGAAGTTGTTACACGATTGCCTTTGTGGTCGACTGTGAGCAATCGCGGCACCCATCTTGCGGAAAGCTTTCTCATGCCCAAGTGATCATTCAAAATTGAAACCACTGAGCCATGCGAGATCCCTACGGCTTCCACAATCTCTTGCACTTTCAATCTTCGGTCGGCCAACACCATATCGTGAATTTTTTCGATTGTTTCGGGTGAAGAGACCTCAACTGGGCGTCCAAGACGTTCGGCATCTTCAGTGCTTGTACGGCCACAACAAAATTCAGTAAACCACTTTTTTACCATTGAAATCGATGGTGCAGAGTCCCCATAGTATTTATCAAGCTTAGCCTTGGTCTCGGTAATGGTTTTTTTTCGCAAAAAATAATGCTTAATAAGCACACGAAATTCACTTTTTTCCATTTTTTTCCTCAAATTACTGGGTAGTCTGATAAAGATAGCTGTCAAATACAAACTAACTGACGCAGCAAGTTCAAATTTTGACAGGAGTCAACTGACAGATGCCTGTTGACAGGAGTAGTGTTGCTTTTTCAGTAAAGAGGTCAGAAATTCAAAAAGTCACGGACTTATTGACCCGCCCTCGTATCACTGCTTACCTACGTTTAGGAGTTATTGGTCTACAGATCCAGATATAAATGCTTATATACATTAGCAATGTAATGCCCATAAGCCGCTTTGAAGATATCCGTAGGAACTTGCATTTTAGTGATAATTCAAAAGAACCGAATAGAGCCGATCCCGCTTATGACAGGGCATTCAAAATACGACCAATTATAGATCACTTCAACCTAGCTTTCCAAAATGCTATGACTAACAATGATAAAGTTCAAAGGTCACAATATAATGAGACAATATGTCAAAAACAAGCCTATAAAGTGGGGATTTAAAATGTGGTGCAGGGCAGACTCTACTACTGGCTATTTTTTCCAATTTGATCTCTATAAGGGCAAGAAAAAGAGTGGCACTGAAACTGGATTGGGCAAATCAGTTGTTGCAATTGTCAAAAGATTTAAAAGGTATGGGGTGTGAAATATACTTTGTCAATTTTTTTAACTCCCTTAATCTACAGTACACACTTGCAAAAATTAACGTAAAAGCTTGTGGCACCGTAAAAATATTCCAAGGGATAAAACCATGAACAGAGGTGACATATTCGCAACCAGCAGCAACGGTATATCATTCATAAAATGGATGGATAATAAGGCAGTGTTTTTGTTGACCAACTTCTTGTCACCCATACCAACGACTACAGTCAAGAGACGGGTACAAGGTAGTGGTGACAAAATGAATGTAACATGTCCTGAAATTGTTGTAAAGTACAACCAATATATGGGTGGGGTCGATCTCATGGACCAGAAAAGTTTGCTACGAAGTGGATCGAAAGGCAAAAATAAATTCGATATACTAGATATTGCGATGAATATATAACTCTTATATAATATATTGCAAGCTGCACGAAACAAAACGCATTGAAGGAACATTACTTTCAAGCCTAGAATTTCGCACAATAGTGGCGTTCCCTTATTGGTAGTTTTTTGTGTCGACAAAGAGATTTATTATGACAAAATATGCTATAGTCATTTCATTTTATTTAAAGTTGATGTAAAGTATGCATAACAATAGTGGGTACAATTAGTCATTACACAAATGAACTTACCGGCATGAACAGTGTGGGTACTGATCCAGAACGGAGCTTTATTCTTTGTGCACTTCTGTTTACAAAACAGTTTTCTTCAAAATGCCTGCTACAAATGGTTGAATGTTTTTTTGGGACCCAATCTGGTCTGTTCACCATTTTTAACCATTTTCCTCGAATGTCTGCATTTTGTGGAAATCTGTAACCATAGGGCCAAGTGCGAGTTTATTTCACATCAACTCGCTCTCGACAGCGAGTGCGTTCGGCATTGTGATTGGTTAAGATTTCAGTGCGGGCCAATCACAGCGCCGAACGCGGTCACCTTGACGATCGAGTAGATGTGAAGTAAACTCGCACATATGAAATTAACATAATTAAAATTCCAAAAAGTCATAATAGAATGGTTTTGATAAAATTAATTGATGATTATTATTTGACCACTGTGACTATTATCGATATTTTTATCGACATTGTCACTTCAAACTTCTAGGTATGTGAGGTTAGAAACAACATAAATTCACGTATTTAATAAAAAAATTGTATGATGCGAAAGCAATTAAACTAAACGAGATAATATTCCCTACCGCTTGATATATAAAATATACGATATTGCATTGAAACAAAGCTTATTTAGAGGCAAATATGGCATTATTTACTTACATGTGAAATGAAAGATTTTGTGGATTTTCTTTCTTGGAAGCGTTACATCCAGGTACTGCACACGTAACCATGATAAAACACGCTTAATAAATAATAAACCACAACAAAATACTCAAGATTCCGAAACAATAACAACAATAATGTTTCGACCTCGACGGGCGCTAGGACGATACAGGCTCATAGCGTATCGGTGTTTGATCTCGTTTATCTGTCGCGTTACACATGTAAACTCGTATTGTCTCTTTTCCGCATAGCCAATCTATTAGTACTCTATATCTATGCCTCCAAATATCTCTTTACTTTTATAAAAAAAAAGATAAAGTAAAAAGAAAGGAAAATGACGGTAATGCTACATTCATTCTAAATCACACAATCATTCTAAAATTATTATAAGAAAAGTAAATATAAAAATATCATTTTTTGTGTTTAAAGCAAAGATTAAATAAATAAAAAAAAAACCTATTGTCAATTAAATGTTCTGGTGTTCAAACTAATTAATCAATTAAAATAATATTAAAATTAATTAAAACAATATTCAAATTCTTCACAACAGATGTTATTTTTCGTAATATGATAAATTGTTTCAAGTTCCAAGTTTGCGTAATAAACTATCCATTATACAATGATAACAATTCTTACCTGAGGGTGTTTGTGTATTTGCCGTGGTCATCGTAATCTAGTTGGAATTTTCAAACTACCGAACATTTTTGGTTCATACTAGAAATAAAGTAACAATAGTGCGGGCATATTATAAACTAATGTTGATTTATATGGTGCAATCTAATGCTTACTGTAGTGATTAACCATAACGGACTCCCTACAGATATAATATGGACAAAATAATACTTCGTGTGAGTACATAAAACATAAGACAATGCAATCTCTTTTCTTAACTTTTTTTAGTCATTGATTTAGAAACCGACGATCGCTGTTCCTTGTTATTACTTTGTTTATTTTTATATTATGCTTATTAAGTGGACTGTAACGTTTTTGAGTATAATAAAGTTCTTTAAACCTAAAAAAGTAAAACAAACTTTTCAAATTTAAATAATTTTATTTATACTTAAGGTAAATAGTTTAACATGCATCCACGTACTACCATGTAAAGTAAGCGTCTTTATGCTACAAAAACAACACAGATAAAAAAAATGTGATATTAAAACACTGCAAACACTTCATTGCACAGTGCTGCGTACAGCAATATTAATACAACAAAAGTATTTGATTGATGTATAATAGAAAAATCATCTAACAGTCAAATTGAGGTTTTTTCACCAGTTTTTAAAAACACTACCTGTCAATTTGCATTCGCGCCATATCTATAAAGCACAGATTACAAACATACTTTTTTTATTTAGTTTAGTACGATCATGGAAGTCACGCGTTCTTTTTTTACTGAGTTAATTTTTCAGAGCATTTACGAAGTAGGATAAAGGATAGATAGTGAAACGTTAGAAAACAAATTTTTAAAAAGAAAGATTATACTTACATTATTTCATCTTAGTTTTTCAGAGAAAGTAGGAGGTGAAATAACATTCTAAATAATGGTTCATGAATAAGCGGATACATACAAGTATAAAAGCGAATTGAGAATCTCCTCCTTTGTTTGAAATCGGTTAAAAACACTTAAAAGTAGAAAAACCTGGTGTTTTATGATTCAGGCAGTCTGACTTACACGTGGTCACCATCTATGACTTCACAAGAGTGACTCCGGTGTCCTAAGCATTAATATCATAAAATATTAGTTTGACAAAACAGAGATTGTCGCTTTTGTGTGTGTTGATCTATGACTTTAGAGTCTACATAAAAGACGATTCAAACAATTTTAATTTTTTAAGCTTGAATTTGAATTGAATTACATGACAGCGACACATGCAAAGTTAAGGTTTGTTCCCATACGGATTTGACAAAACAGAGATGTTGCTATTGTGTGTTGATCTATGACTTTAGAGTCAACACAAGAGACGATTTCAAATAACTTTAATTTTTTTATGAAATAAAGATTTTTTGTGTTTTATAAAATAATTTGTTTGATTTATACACTAACAATATCCACCAATGTTTAGTAGTCTTTGCTTCCTTTATAAATATGGCGTAGAGGCAAATTAACTCGCCAAATACAAAGTACATTGATTTATAATAGAAATGAATTGTACGTTTACAGTACTACCTTATCTAAATAATTGGGTATGTGATTACACATTTCGATAGAAAAAAATACGATATTAATTTATACATAACTTGTAAGGTTTTAAGAAATTATTTGGAAATCGTAATTTCACGTTATATGCAAGGCGTCCTGGAATGCAATGACTGGGGCAAACTATTTCACAATTTAACATTATTTTACTAATTCTGATGCATCGATAAGACATTCAATAATATTTTACACCGTGTGGCATTATTTTGTTCCAAATCTTTAGAATCGAGTTACATTCTAACCTACAAATGGTCCGTAGCCGTAAAGAAATTGATACAATTTAATTAATTTTATGAGTCATATCAGTTAAATTTATATTCGTTTAGAAAAAAAAAAACAATTTAATATTTCTTTTTTTTAAGATATGGGGCCCAATGGGTCACGCAAAGGTCTGAAGGTTTTGTTAGTCCGGAAATAATTCTATACATAAAAAAATACTTTCCAGGACTGATTCATCAACGCAGAGCCTCAATCGCTGGGGGCTACAAACTGGAAATTTTGGGCGTTGAGACCACTAAGAAAGAATTTTTAAATATTCCACCTAGTTATTAATTAACTGATAAAACATAAAATACTGCTTTCCAGGACATCTTTGAGTGATTCGTTTTGACTGCGTATATATTATAATATATATGTTATATTTATTACTTCAAGACTATGATGCATTGTAAAAATATATAGCCGTGAATCGAACCTGTGATGCACCGAACGCTATATAATATCAAAACACTATGCGACTCTATACTTAACTACAATTATTAGTAATAATTATTATATTTATACTAAAATGATGGTGCTGATCTAGTTTTAATCGACTAAAGGATCAAACAGAAAATATGACATACATTTTAGACGATTTATTGAAAAAAAGGAAAGGATTAAAAAAAAATAAGCGTCAAGTGTATCTATGGTTTATTTGATCAAAACAGGCAACGACACTAAAAAAAATACTATTAAGTCAGATAAAATCAGTCAGATTACCGGAATAGCAATAAAACGCTTTATTTAGTCACACTGGTACGGGAGCGTTTATTCAGCGAATAGCGTAATGGTTTGTGTGAATTTTGACACTTTTTGTGATCCACAAATTGTTGTGTCCGTTTAAATGAAATATATTCCTAATGAGAAAGCCATCTTTTAAAAATAATTGTGTAACTTGAACCTGTGTGACTGGATTTGAATTTTTCCTGACCGATTAGGCAGTAAACTTAGAAATACTGATATGGTATTTCGTATTTTTTTTTAATATTAAACATTCCTTTTCATAGGTGATGACTAATATGCATTTTATACAAGCAAAAATATAACGCTTGAAATAGTCGGGGTAGCTTAGTCCTGGTACGTCATTGCGTATGTCACACAGGTGGCAAACAGTACCTGATTTAAATAAATTACGAAAACACAAAATGATGAAAAATATTATTTGATCACAAAAAAATAAAAACAATGAAATTAGTATGTCGTATGACCTGACGAAGATAATCGTTACCTGTTCAGTTTACATCACATATTTGTGCCACCAAGTGTATTCCATCACTTACATAAAATGATATAAATTATCAATATTGCACGAATATATTCCAAGTAATCCACTTAAGTCATTAGGGCCGACTAAGAGAGCAAACTACGCAAGACAACAGCACTGCAAAGAGAAGGAAAACTTGACACAAACCCTATACCAAGCCGTCTGGCCAGCGTGGTATAGTAGACCAAAACCTCTTTTCTAAGAAGAGGCCTATGTCAAGCAGTGGACTATTAAAGGCTATTAATGAGGCCACTTAAAGTGTAAACGAACAAAATTACCAATAAATATTATATATAATAATTCATTTAACTTATATAATTAATATCGATGTAAAGCAAATTAATGGCAAGAATCAATGATCACTTCATTTCATCCTAACAATTAAATTAAAAAAATGAGTATTCATGGAATGAGAGTCACAAAAATACCAAATGTCTTTTACACTTCAGTGCAAATAAATATACCAACAATTTAATGATAATTAAAATACACATCTACATTTAAAAGTGAAGCAGTCTAAATATTTACATTTATATTTTTATTACTTCAACGTTACGTACAAAACTCGCGACTATCCCACTAACGAAACGCATAGCCGTAACTGCAGTGGGTTGTTAATATAATTATGTATATATAAATATTATTTTATTGTGTTTATATTTAGAAAAAGTTTTTTATTATCTATTGTACTGATATTTTTTCTAGCAAAATATCATTACGTGTATGACAATTTTATGAAAATGTCATGTAAAATAGTGCGGAAAATAACAAAAAAATATATGTTTCAGTATCAACCCTTCACGTTTTACATATAATATATTTATATTAACCAAAATATAATTTGGTTCTACTTAATTTAAGATTGTTTCGTCAAACCAACATAACATAACATTAATATCAATTGAAACATAATCCAAATCAAATATCAACTCAGTCAGAAACAACACTGATCTAAGAAATACTATAAAAGTAAAGATGAGGTAAGAAAAATATTATATATCATTATTTCAAGTCAAAGTATTTGTATTGCAAATACTTTGACTTCCCTTCAAAACGAGATTCGCGTACAGAGGCGTGTGTGAGTTTATTACTCTAACGTCACGGTGACCGCGTTTGCCGCTGCGATTGGCCCGCACAGAAATATGCACCAATCACAACGCCAAACGCGCTCGCTGTCGAGAGCGAGGTGATCTAAAATAAACTGGCACTAGGGCCTCAGAAAGTTACACACAATATTACAATTAATAAACGACTACATACAACGGTCGCAATCATTAATAAATAAAAAAACTGCTTGTACAAGATTTTATACAATTATGATAGTTCCTTAAAATTTACAACCTACGTGATATTACTATTGATGAGAACATAAATTTCTTCAAAAACCAACCGCTATTTTTGGCGATTCTAGTAAAAAGAAACTTTCCTTACTCGGATTTTCTGTTACGTTACTTATTTATTTAATTGTTAGATGACATTTAAGGAGACTTATCGACTATTTATTTTCAAAATATAACACTCAGTGCGCACTAACCGCATTTTTTTTATCGTAAACTCACTTAGACTACGGCTGAATAAAAAAAAAGTTATTATAAAAATAACAGGCGTCGTTTTATTCGGCCGGAGACGTGACCATGTGCAGAAAATGTTAGCTGCTAATTATGTGACTGTATGTATAGGCCTAGATTGGGTACACCATTTTTATGAAACATGGATTTCATCTAACGAAACCAGTTGCTTTCCCTACCAGAAATTACCTTTTTATATGGTATGGAGAGGTGGGAACAGACGGGTCGGGTCTGAAGTGACCATGCACACCTCAAATCACAACCTATGTGCAAGATAAAGGTAGAAATTAAAATGATGATATGATATTAAAACAATTATTTTTATTTATATTCATGTAATATTTAGCTAATTTTTTTGAAATATTTTTGTTTCTATGTGAGAAATGAAACTATAGTTCATTCGCGTTAAGAAAATAGTGACGTATCAATCAAGCCCCGTATTTTGACTAATCAGGTTGCAAGCATTCCTACGGATGAATAATTTCTTGGCACCTGATTGGTTAAAGGCCGGGGCCTAATTGTTTTTTACACTTCCTGCATTACAACTTGCACGAGGCGGACTTAATGCCACATGCCATTATCTACCAGTCAACCATAAGCTGGTTCAGTAAGGGGGATGAACGGTGCACATGTATTATGTAAAAAGAAGAGAAGGTATGAAAATATAACATTAAGTTGATAATACTATTTAAAATACATAAATAACTATTAATAAATTATATATACGGTATAAAATAAATACTATCCGTGTGGTGACGGATTAACAATACGGAATCACCACCACGGAGTCACCACCCTCATTCATCCCGTGGATGTTTTAAGAGCTGACTAAGGGAGCTAACTACGCAGGACAACAGCACTGCAAAGAGAAGGAAAACTTGAAACAAACCCATCCCATCTGGCCAGCGTGGTATAGTAGGCCAAAACTTTCTTTCTAAGGAGAGGCCTATGTCCAGCAGTGGACTATTATAGGCCAAATACAAAATATAACAAATTAAGAGTAGTGAAAAAAAAACATAGTAAGTTGCTAGGAGCGTTAGATGTAATCCATGTTTATATATATTATATATATATATATATATATATATATATATATATATTTATTGTATTTTATATAATGCTATTAAGTTAAAGTATTTTGTACCTTATTGTTATTATTAACAGTAAATAGTACAGGTGAGAATTGTTTGATTCTTCTATTCTTTTTGTTTACAAAACTGAATTCCTGTATATAAGAAAATCTTAAATAGTATTTGTAGTTATTAAAGATGTTTTGTTTGTATAAATGTAGCATCTGATACAGGTTTGACAGCTCGTTTCTTTAAGATTTTTTATCTGTATAATTATAAAAACATATATATTTTATAATTATAAGTATGGATTACGTAATATTATGGTAATAATATCGATGAGTGCGTTACAATGTTTTTAGTGCATTTTTTTTGTTATTTATTTTTATGAGGGTAGGTATGTCGTGTTTATTTAAACGTCGTGGTCTACGTTTGTTTATTAAATATTTGAGAAAGAAAATTGGACATTGAAAAAAGGTTAAATTATAACTGCAGTAGTTGTCACACGTTAGCCTATTATTATGAAAAAAGTCTACATAATTATACATTTGTTCGAAAATAGGTAAATTTTGTATGTGTCTATTGGCGCCCCCGTTTCCGCAATCGCCTGTAAGTTCATTTTAATTGTAGTGTAGGTGTAGGTGCGGGCGGCTAGGTGATGAGCCTGGGCGCGTGCAGGCCGTGCAGGCGGCGCGCGAGCGGCGGGCGGTGGCGCGGCTCGTGCGGCGGGGGGGCGGGGGCGGGGGCGGGGGCGGGGGGGGGCCCAGTCGTGCAGGCGCGCGCCGCCCGCCAGGCGGTGCGTGAGGCGGTGCGCGATGGAGAACCCGCCGCTGCCCTCCAGCTGCGTCAGCACGATTATCACCTGCCTGCCGACGACACCACTCAACGTTCTACACTTCCTCCGACGTACTTTCTACGAATTAACCTATCGTTTATGGAACCCACGATAACGATGTTCAAACTGATCGGATGACTCATTAACGGCCTAGTTTTTTCCCTTTTATTATATTCTTATATACGCAACATTTACTGAAAAATAATCTAGTTTAATATATTTTTCTCCTCACCTCTTTGTCAACCTTTCAAGCGTTGTCCAAATTTGATTTCATCATTAAAAAAATTATATATATTTTCAAAACAAACATCACAAATTTTGTAAATTACAATTTTATTTTAACTACCATTATGGTAAACTACTTCTGTCACAAAAAAACTCATCATTTGTCTTGAAATATTAACTAATAACTGATTACACAGATAACATAATAATCCAAACAGCTACCTCACCACTTCCTACTGCGCTAAGTGTTGTAAATTCATAACTTCATAACACATAACACTTTGTGTAATCCACAAATTGGTATTCCAAGTCTAAATATTCTTTGTATCCGTGGAATACAAAATTCTTAGCCTTCATTATATCATAAAAATTATTAATACTATTGAATTTAAATTAATACTATTGTAAATATTGCACCTGGACCGAATAACAAGACTGTAAAAGAACTCAAATATATATACCACCAATCAGTTGTTATTGAGGATCCAAAGAAGCAAACTTCAATCGTGCAATGCCAAAGGTGCCAACAATATGGACATTCCAAAAATTATTGTATGCGCCCATATCGCTGCGTAAAATGTGGACAGTCCCACAAAACATCTAAATGCCAAAAAGGCGACCGCACTATTCCCGCCCATTGTGCACTATATAATGGTCCACATCCAGCGAACTATAAAGGGTGCGAAGTATACAGGGCAATTCTGCTAAGACGATCTAAGCCAACACGTGTAGGTGCAAGAAGTTATCAAACGCAAACACCTGCGGCCGATAATACGGTGGATAGACTAGTGCCAAACATACCTGTTAAAGAAGCTCAAAATCCTGGGGAAGCAAAGAAAACATACTCTGATGTTACTCGAAACAAAATGGGATCAACTCAAGAAATACCAAAACCTTTGAACTTGGAAGAGATTTTAATCGAACAGACTGAAAAAATTGACATAATCTTACAACAAATGAGTACCTTAATGATACTCATTACGCGACTCGTTGAAAAATTGACAAAATGACTGCAATTCGAATGGCAACATGGAACATCAATGGATTGACGCCAAATAAAGATGAAGCAGAAACCCTCATGGTACAGCAAAACTTGGACTTGCTATTGATATCCGAAGCTCACTGCTGCAGCAACAGCTGTCACAAATATTAAATTTAAAAACTATGAGTGCTATTTAAGCCTACACCCGGATGGGTCCGGACATGCTGGTACTGCGATTGTGGTCAGGAGATCGCTAAAACATCATTTAATGCCTGAGCATAGAACCTGCCACATCCAGGCTACTACAATAGCGGTTGAAGACAGAAATGGCTATTTCAATATTTCCTCAGTGTACTGCCCACCCAGACATAAGATATCTGCAGAGATGTTTAAAGAATTCTTCAAAACACTTGGTAATAGATTCCTCGCTGGAGGAGACTGGAACGCCAAAAACACTTTCTGGGGATCCAGACTAACCAGCACCGAACAGCTTAACTACAATTGCCACATGTGAACCAACGCACTGGCCGACGGATGTCTCGTCTCTAGACTGCCGGATCTGATTGACTTTTTTATCATTAAAGGCTTTTGTTCTCACTATACTAAATGTGAGTCTTGTTATGACAGCTCCTCAGATCACACGCCAGTACTGCTTACTCTAAGTACGGAGATTATAGAACATGAGTGTCCACAAAGGTTGTACAACAAAAACACAGACTGGTACTCATTCAGAGAATATATTAATGAGAATCTCAAGCTGAAAGTCGCTCTTAAGACGCCAGATGATATTCAAATAGCGGCCGAATATATTACAAACCTCATACAGGAGGCTTGCTGGAAGAGTACATCACTATTAAATATTAAAAATAAGATACAAAATTACCCTCTCGTAATAAAAAAAGCTGTCTTAGAGAGACGTAGACTGCGCCGCATAGGGCAACAGAGCAGACTTGCGGCTGACAGAGCCAACTTCAACAGGCAAGCATCATATTTAAAAGATATGATTAAAACTTGGCAGAATAACACTCTTGAAGCTCAATTGGCATCCCTTACGCCCACTGCAGCCACAGATTACTCACTGTGGAAATTTACGAAATACTACAATAGACCACAAATGCCAAGATCCCCACTAAGAAAAGAGTGAGTCTGGGCCCGCACGCCGCAAGAAAAGGCCGACCTATTTGCGGCCCATTTATCGACTGTCTTTGCCCTGAATCAGAGCGATGACACTGGTATCGAAACAGAGGTTGAATCGGTTCTCGCCTTTACAAATGTCGCTCCCGCCATCCTCAATGTCGGTGAAAGAAGTCCGCAAAATCATACATGGTCTCAAAGATAAGAAGGCACCAGGCTATGATCTTATTACGAAAGAAATCTTGAAAGAGCTTCCAAGAAAGGCGTTAGTGTTCCAAACAATGCTTTATAATGGAATACTAAGAGTTCAAGTCTTTCCAGACCTTTGGAAGGTGTCACAAATCCTTATGATACACAAAACAGGGAAACCGGCAGACCAAACCACCTCATATAGGCCCATTAGCCTATTGCCAGTTTTATCCAAGATCTGTGAAAAGGTTATTTTTCACTGGATTATACTCATACTGGAAAATAATACCATTATCCCTAACCATCAATTCGGCTTCAGGCAACAACATGGTACCATAGAACAAGTACACCGAGTGGTCGAAAAAATTAGAAAATGTTTAGAGGAAAAGGAGTACTGCTCATCAGCTTTCTTGGATATTTAGCAGGCATTCGATAAGCTCTGGCATGAGGGTTTCCTTTGCAAAATAAAAAAAAGTCTCCCACACAGCTACTTCAATCTGATGAAATCATACCTTGCTGAGAGAATGTTCCAAGTTAAAGAGTCTGGATCAACATCGAAATTCTACCGCATAATGGCAGGCGTGCCTCAAGGTTCCGTTTTGGGACCCATTTTGTACACCCTATATACCTCAGATCTACCTCAGGTGGAGGGAGTCATGACTGCTACATATGCTGATGACACAGCAATAATGGCCAGCAATAAACACCCTGATGTAGCCTCTGACCAACTCCAACAAGGGCTTGATGCTATTGCAAAGTGGCTTAAAAAATGGAGGATTAAAGTGAGCACAACTAAGTCAGTGCACGTGACTTTTACACTTAGTAGAGAAGATTGCCCTCCTGTGCATCTTCAAAGTTCTATTTTACCACACCAAGACAGTGTAAGGTATCTAGGCCTACACCTGGATCGTCGCTTGACCTGGAAACGGCACATTAATACCAAAAGAGAAGAACTCAACATACGATATAGAAAACATTGGATGCTGGGCCGAAATAGCAGACTATCAATAGACAACAAGCTTCTAATTTACAAGTCTATATTGAAACCCATCTGGGTGTATGGTATTCAACCTTGGGGCAGTGCAAGTGACTCAAGTATTTCTATTTTACAACAAGTACAGAATGCTATATTAAGAACAATAGCGAACGTCCATTGGTTCATCACCAACTCTGAAATTCACACACACCTAAATATGAACACTGTGGGAGAAGAAATTCAAGCTGCCACGCAAAAGTACCAAAAACGGCTAGAAAACCACCCGAATGCACTTGCGGCGAGTCTTATTACCCGCAGCTATCAAAAACGTCTTAAAAGAAAAGACGTGTTATAATAGTATAGGAGACATGAAGAAGTAAGGAGTAGTTGCCCTCACAGGAGGACGCACTCGACCTGCCAAAACCTACCACTTATCTGCTTATAGTTGTCTACTGATTGCAGATTGGCTACCAAAAAAAAAAAATACTATTGAATTATGTTTTTATTAGACTTTTTGAAATAAATTTATTTGTTATTATTAAATGAAATTAATATTTGTAAAGTCCCCGCAACATAGAATATATTCCTAATGGACGAGCTGTCTTCTTTTAAAAGAGAAAAATACCATTATCGAAGGCTGACTCACTCAACCTGTGACCACGGTTAGTGATTCCAACCGCAACATCAGATAACTTTAAAGTATATTTTTTATACTTACTATATGTATTGATCACTTTAACTTGCAACAAACTTTCTTAAAAGATAGCCTTCTGCGTAATCTTTATCCTATTTTATGTTTGATTCTCGTTAAGTATTAATAACAGACAGCGTAAGATGAGCGTAATAAAAGTTCTAATCCTAAACAGTCAAATATATTATATTAAATTATAAATAGTTGTATTTACCTGTGCAATGGTGGCACGGAGTCGATAGTCTTGAGCTCACCTCTCGTGGACACCACGTTGTAGCTCTCCTGGCAGTCACACTTAACGTGGATCCACTTGTCCGTGTGACGGTTCTCGACCATCACCACCAGACCGGCCCAACCCTGAGGATAAAAAATCGGCAATATTATTAAAAAACAGTCAGAAAAAAGATATTTTAATAGTGCATGCGATTATGGTTAGGATCTAGGAATCGTTTCGGGTAATATCAGAGAGTCCAAGATGCTTTTTATGATATAGAGGTCAATCAAGAAGAAGGGTTACCATACTTATGGTAAATGACACCGCCTATGAATACCAGTAACTCAGAAGTCACAACTGTATTCAGTACTTGAGGTGTGAGTTTCCTCTTTTTTTGAAGGTCGTATTTGATCAGAAAAACCGAAGGCGAACAGCGAAGTAAAAAGTAAAGGTTCGAGTACTGTGTGAGGTAGGGTACCTTGGTGAGGTAGTAGGCCGTCATGCCCTGGCGGCCCTCGTGGCGCTGTCCGCGCGCGAGCGTGAGGCCGATGATGGCGTCGGCCAGCAGGTGCGGGTGCAGCGCGGGCCGCTCCACGCACAGCGGCTTGGACGAGTGCGCGGCCAGCACGTGGCGGGGCCAGGCCGCGCTGTCGGCCAGCTCCAGCCCCGTGTGCCAGTGGTTGAAGGCCAGGCACACCACCAGGTAGAAGCCCTTCTCCAGCATCTTGTGGCAGCCCACGAACCCGCGCACCTGTACATCCTTTTTTATACTAACTACCACTTTCAATACTTTTCCCCGATCCCACGCCTGTAAATTTAGCAAGCGAGTGGGCAATTGTTCTGATCTTTTTTTCTAAGACTCTCTGAGGAAGTTTAATTACATAAAAGCGTTTCTTTCTGTAAAACTATAACATCTTGTAAAACCAACTATATCCTGCTCCAGCTTCCCTTGACTGTTTTTATGGGTGAATTATAAGTATAAATAGATATGAGAGCAGTCTTAACTTATAAATGAACAAGTATATTGTAGTTTAAACATTAAACCCAATAAATACAGATTTATAAATATTAATCTCAATTTGAGACAATTTGAAGTAAGTTAGCAAATTCAAATTCATAGCCAACATCATTAAACAACACTTTTCTACATATAAATAGCCAGAATATTTAAAAAAATCGTCGTGACCCCATATGTTGCCTTGTGGCACACCTAGCAAAACTCAAAACAAATTTTAATAGTTTCACAAATATCATGGAACATTTCTATCTCTGCCGGTTGAGTTCTATTGTTTAAATGACGGTCGTTCAATTTAAAAACAAGGCCTTTGATGCCAGTGCCTTCGAATTAACAATATATTATACTTTACATAATCGAAAGCCTTTAACATGTCTAAAAAAAGTCATACATTTTTTTTCCTTTATGTCTTCACACATCGTCAGGGTATTTTTAAACGAGTATTTTCTTTGGAGTCAGAAAAATGGGTAAGCTATTATTTAAAACTAACAATACCTGTCTTTTACTGTGTGCAACAAGTTTGCCAACATGCGCGCTCGGACCGGACTTGGTCCTGAAGACCACTACACACAGGTCTAACTGGGAACGTTGACTTTTAGCCGAATTCCTGGAACGAACAGAACAATGATTAATAAAGAAATATCAACACATACAGTTAACCTGTACTTCAAGTAGTTGGTAATTATAATTCCTCAGCCTGAGGTCGTGAGTTCGATTCCCACCAGTACGTAGAATTGAAATCGAGAATCAATTTAAGAGGAAATTTATATGTTACTTATGCTGTGATCTAGGCATGGAACAAAATCACAGTGTACCGTGAAAGACCGGTGATTTATCATTAGATTTTTTCGTATATAGGTTATGGTTGCTACTTATACGGACTACAGACTGCACGGATGGCGTAGTGGTCTAAGCGGTCGCTGTCGGAGTATTGTGGGTCCGATCCCTACATGGAACGACACTTTATGTGATCCACAAATCGTTGTTCTGAGTCTGGGTGTTCTTTGTGTCCGTTCCATGTATGTTTGTAAAGTCCTCCGCGACACAGGATATATTCCTAATGCGGAAGTTGTTTAAAAAAACTTCACTTTACTCACGCGTTGTTGGCAATAAGCTGCTTTCAGACGATGTATAAATACCTTATTTCGCCTATTCAACATTCACTAGTAAATAGTTTATTATACATAGCTACCATTCCATACATAATAATAAAAAAAATACAAGTTTTACTGTTGAATAGCGTCTCACCTACCTACCTAGCAACCCTCACCTACGTACGCAAACATCGAATGAAAAATCACAGATCACTGTGATTTTGCCCCATGTCTACTGTGATCTGGATGGAAGTCAAAAAGTAATCGGTGTTTAAGGCCCGTATTTTAAAAGGTGTCAAGTCGTGAATCTAGTCTTAAAACTAATTTTAAGTAGAGATTTTATTATTGAACGTCACTTAAAATGAGATTCACCGCTCCATACTCAAGTGAGTGATAGCTTATTTTAGAACGATGTTTATGTCAAAATCATTACTCAGGTATAGATTTTGACAGCTGTGACTGCTAACTAGTCTCTAGCGGTGATTTCTAGGGCATTTAGGGGAAATGAATGTGTTTTACGATGATTTGTTTTTGAATAATTACGAAAGATTTACTTTATTTACGAAAGAATTACTTGTCATACTATAATCAATTTCACTATAATTTACCTTAATTGATATAAAATTCACCAAAATTCACATTTTACACACACAATACCAGTTTAAATTACCACAACCTTCTGGTTTATGTTAAAAGTATACTAATACAAATTTCAGAAATATCAAATAAAAACATCGTTTGACATTTCAACATGACAAGTGTTGATAAATAACTTGAACGTTCCGTTATAGCCTATTCATACAGCTAGTTATTTTTATTTTAATATTTATTATATTTAATTTTGAACGAACAACAAGCTTGTTAATATGTTAACATTGTTACACTAGCCAATAGTATATATATACAAATTCACAGAAATTATGTTTGTAAAAGAAAATTATTTTTTAAATTATTAGCTGCGTAATGCGGAATAATAATGTCAATCATGCGAAAACGTAATTGAGAACAGACTGTAAGTCCAAATCAATACTTGAATCTAGTTTCAACTGAGTAAAACTTAAAACGCGTTCTATAATAAGATCGATAATTAAGATTTGATCTGCACTTAAAACTAGTTTCAGGCAATCAGAGTTCAACCGACACTTGAGACGTCTTTTAAAATACGGGCCTAAGAATATCTATAAGTTTATTAATATCATCCGTGTGGTGACGGATTAAGAATATGGTGTCACCACCCCTGTTCATCCCGTAGGTGTCGTAAGAGCCGACTAAGGGAGCAAACTACGCAGTACAAGAGCACTGCAAAGAGAAAAGACACCCACGGGATGAATAGCGGTTGTAATCGATAATTAAGTAATATTATAAGCACACTTACCTCTGTCCCTCCTGGAAGAGTGTGAAGTCTACCTCGGTAGGCTGCGTGGCAGTGAGGAGCAGACACGTAAGGTGCCTCGTGGACGACATGGGAGGGAGGATCCCCGCCAGGCGAACCTCGTGCCAGCCCACTCGCACCTTACATATGTCTATGCAGTCAAAATATCTGGAAAATATAAGGTAGTATATCTTAGGGTCAAGAATAATATCATTTTGAACCTTAATTGCGAACTAGAAATTCATGATCAACCTACCTGTTGCTAATTTTAATTGAGGTCATGTGTGTCACGTGTACGTATGATTTACGTCATCACGGTTCGATCGACCAACAGTTATGTGCTACCTGTTTTTTTTTTTTTTTTTTTGTTGACGGGGTGGAAAATCCTTTCGGATCTTCTGCTCCTCGGGGCTAGGAGCTAGGAGTATGTGGTGATTCCACTAAAAACCACCCCGACGGCCGGCCTTAGGCCCTACTCTGGGAGGACCTGGACCATGTCATTTCAGGTCCTCCCCGAATTGACACCATGCCTAGTCAAGCCCTATCCCAGGGGAAAATCACTTCCCCAGTTATGTACTACCTATTGGTAGTGTTACTTTTTGTAACTAAATTATTTATAAGTGAACTCGGAAAATTTAAAGATTGGTTTTGTAATATTATTATTTAATGCCGTATGCCCAACTCAAAGATAGCTTACATCTATGCATACACAGTGAGATCGTATCTTCTACATGCGTTTATCTCGTTATGGAATACCCACAGAGGAACCACCTATGGTCTAAGCACTTTTACAAGTCATCATCATCAACAGCCTATAATAGTTAACTGCTGGGCATAGGCCTCTCCTTAGAAAGGAGGTTTTGGCCTACTATACCACGCTGGCCAGACGGGTTGGTATAGGGTTTGTTTCAAGTTTTCTTTGCAGTGCTGTTGTCCTGTGTAGTTTGCTCCCTTAGTCGGCTCTTACGACACCCACTGGATGAATAGGTGGTGACATTCCGTATTCTTAAACCGTCACCACACGGATAGTTTTACTTTTACAAGTATCTTGTGATATTTCTAAGATAAAATTTTAGAAAAATCTGTAATGCAGAGTTCACTGTATACTAAAAAAAAGTACTAACTTCAAAACATCATCAAAGCTGATCCAAAAAACTCCTTGATCTCTATCAACATCAGCGGTAGGGGCGTGAGGAGTGACGGCTCTCCTCGCTGCATCAGTCCACCTGGTACAGCCAGCAGCCCAGGCTCCCCTCCAGGTGTAGTGGCCCCAAGGGTTCCTCAGGCGCAGCAGACGAGTGGGAGCGGCTCCTGTCGCAAAGACACACACTTCCACCACGTCTAGTACAGAGTAAGCGTGACGAGGGCGAAGGCCTAATCGCTGATATTCTTCTTCGTCAACCTAAAAAAAATTGAATTAGGATTATGTTAAAAAAGTACGACAAAAATATGGCACTATGCCAGGTGATACATAATACGTTATCATCATCAACAGCCTGTAATAGTTCACAGCTGGACATAGGCCTCTCCTCAGAAAGGCGGTTTTGGCCTACTATCCCACGCTGGCCAGACGAGTTGGTATAGGGTTTGTTTCAAGTTTTCCTTCTCTTTGCAGTGCAGTTGTCCTGGGTAATTTGCTCCCTTAGTCGGCTCTTACGACACCCACGAGAGGAATAGGGGTGGTGACACTCTGTATTCTAAATCCGTCACCACACAGACAATATAGATATAATAATATGCTATAGATTTAATGAATAAGAGTGCAGTTATACCTTCATGTTGCCCCCTCCACAGCTAGCCCCCATAAGGAAGCAGGCCTGTCGAGACGACAGCAGCTGTGCCCACACCAGGTCCCGATCCAACTGCTCGAGTGGGGCTCCCCCTCCTGCCCCCCCAGCTCCTCCTGCTTGCAGCGAGACTGACTCGCACGGGGCACCCGTTAGTGTACATAAACCTGGAACATTAATCAATCGTTAGTTGTTATTGTTCAAGGTCAATGACGTTTTTCTAAAACTTTCAATTATGTTCCGTCAGTTGGGATAATCTTTTTGAATAGCTAAATAAAGTGATTCGAATGTTATCTTATAGTTTTGAGCAGTACAAATAGTTTTGACATGGTCCTTCGAAACCCACTCGCCATCATTTCGAAGGACCAAGTCAAAATTGTGAACATTGGGCCAGTTAGTCTTAAAATATTTTCAAAACTATGTAACAATTGACAACCATAGTATATACCTTCAATGGCTCTCCCGGAGACCAAAGCCTCATAGCACCCGTGTAGCTTTGCGACCGCTTTTTCAATAAGCGGTACCCATAACTGTTTCCGTTTTGCCTGAAAACATAATAAATAATATGAATATTAAAAATGATAAAATACAAATTCCTATTGCAAAGGAGATGTCAGAATATTGTTCTAAAATTGTGAGAGTAATAAATTAATTTTTTTCATGCATTCATCCAAATTAAAGTAATTTGGATGAATGCATGATTGTGATTTAATCACATCAGAACGAGAGTGGGACTCCCTGTCGTACAAGGTGGATACGGCTGCATGCTAGCGCATCCCCACGATTTCTTTTGTAATTTGTTTTTGTTATAATGTAGATCTAACATCGTATATCGTAGTAAGGGTATTGTTACTAACACATTTATGCACCAATGTCTGAATATAAATATGTTAACGGATCTGGGTGAAATTTGGAATATAGAGAAATACACTAAGAATTAACCGCACAAACATACATGAAACGGACACTAAGAATACTCAAACTCAGAACAACGAAGCGTTGTCCCACGTGGGGATCGAACTCACAACACTCAGTGTGAGCGCAAACCACTACGCCATCCGTGCAGTCAGTCAATTCAAATGGCACACGTGCTACTCGTAATCCCAGGGATGAAGGTGCGACCTGCGAGTAGACGAGGTGGCCCTTCTTGTTGGCGGGCAGCAGGTCGTCCACGGTGACGGTGAGCCAGCGGCCGTCCTTGCACAAGCGCAGCTGGTAGGCGCCCAGGCTGGGCTCGCCGCGCACCAGCACGCCGCGCACCAGCGCCGAGCGCTCCGCCAGCACGGCCAGCGCCGACAGCAGCCAGCAGTTGCCCAGCACGCCTGCGGACCGCACACACCACGCTCACTAGGGGGGGACACGCACCTACGCTCGGAACGACTATTTGTGGATCACACCGAGTGTCGTCCCGACGAGTTTATCCATCATCATCGTCGGCCTATCGCAGTCCACCGCCGGACATAGGCCTCTCCCGTTGCACGACACTTAGATCGATTTTGGGCTTCTCGCATCCGGCTCCCGCCAGCCATCTTTCGCAATCGTCACTCCACCTGGCCCGTGGACGTCCTACACTACGTTTGCCGAGACGCGGTCTCCACTCTATACTACGAAATAAATACTTTCCCGAGTGGGTTCTTCATCATCACATCGACCAGCCTGTAATAGTCCACTGCTGGACTTTCCTTTACTTAGAGAGGAGATTTCTTTCCGAGGAGGGAAAAAGAGAAGGGAAAAGAAGAAAGAGTGGGTTCTTAGGTTAGTGAATGCATTATAAATCACATATTACAATTTTATTGTAAACGCATGGGTTAATTCCCTCCTTGATGGGTTTTTCGGGCCCAACATATAGTACCATCTTACATCTGTAACAAATCTCACTGGAGATTTTAAATTACCTTGAGATATGTCCGAAGGCCTTGGATCCCGGAAGACGACCCAAGGGAGTCGGTGATCTGACTCCACATGTATCTGGTGGGGTCTCAACCACCTGGTGGCGGCGCCCGTCTCCGCTCCGCCACTGTAGTACAGCGAGCGGGGCGAGGCCGGGAATGAGGAGTCCACGTAGGGCTCCCCTGTCTGTGGATCGAATATATTGTTCATCTACTCTGAACAGCATACAATACTATTAAAACATTTATTATTTAAATTACTGTCCATGATCTCTTTTTTATTCAATCATAAAAATAACTCAGCCGTCCAGCAGCAGTCGTTAGACTAATGGGAGGCAAACAAGCAGTCGGATCAACTGATAGAAAGTGGCTACCGACGCCTATGAACGCCTCCAACAACTGTTCAATAGTGACATACCGAGGCACACTGCGCCAGGACCTCCTGCCACTGTGTCCAGGCGTGGCTCTCCTCGCTCAGACGCAGGATCTCCATCGGAGTACTCTCTTGGCGCTCGCCGTCAGAGCCCTCCGCTGAAAACAACATAGCACTGATTTTAAGATATGATGATGATTCATCAACGCTGAGCCTAAACCACTTGGGCTACAACCTTGAAGTTTTGGCAGCTGATGTTAAAAAAACATAAAAATGTTGTAACTATCACCCGTAAAAGAGGAAAATAAGGGTTGAACGATTGTAGGGCAATGAACGTTCAGCGTGTACTCACGCGACTCCTCGTCGTCGAGCGAGGGCTGGTCGGGAGCGGCGCGCAGCAGCCTCGCGCGGGGCGACGCGCACATCTCACAGGACACGGCGCCTCCGCTGTTCACGTACGTACACTCCGAGCAAGGCCACTCGGTCACCTCCGCCCTACACAATTTAAAGCATTGTTAATTGGGCATTACAAGCGGAGCCGCACTAAGTACCGCACTTAAAAGTTAAATAATAATAAAGAACCAATCTTATTAACATTTGCGGCATCATTACCATTTTAAACAAACAAACTGAACAGAAAAACGCCGGAAGATTCTGTGAGGGGTTTGACCTTCTTAGTGGTAGGAGTTGCTCTCCTAGCAAAAAGCAGACGGGTCACCTGATGGCAAGCGATCACCACGTACATGGACACCTGCAACTCATGCGTCACGAATGCGCAGCCTTTTGACCCCACACCCCTCCCCAAACCTGAGGGAAGGTTAACCTCACTCACTCTTAATCATTCCTGAACAGCAAATTTATGTGAGAACGTGGTATCATGCCTCCCCCACCGGAATTTCTAAAAATGTTGCCAGCGGCAGCACCATGAGCTAAGTAGATACATACTTGGGTTCTGGGGGCGGTGTTTTGTGTCTGGAGCCACGTCGAGGAAGGGCGGGTGTGTGGCGGATGCTCCTCCGAGGAGATGGACTCCGACCACCTGTACATATAAAACTTCAAACTAAGGCAAACTTGACCTTGTACCTCCGCAACTACTAAAAGAATGAACCGTAGTTACAATGTAGGTACATTCAGATTTAAAATTCACGATAATATTATATGAGATTATTAATCGTAAGCTGTAAATCTTAGTGAAGAAAAAACAATAAATAATAATAATAATTACTTCACACATCTCACACACGGCCGTCTGATCCCTAACTAGGCAGAGCCTGTACTATGGTGACCAGACTGCTGATAAACATACTTATATATTTTTAAATACATACATATTATAAATAAATTACACCCAGACACAGAACAAATGACCGTGCTCATCACACAATATTTGTCCTGGGTGGGAATCGAACCCACGACCTCCGGCTTAGCAGTCAGGGCCACTAACCACAAGACCGACAGGCCCGTCTAAAAATATCAACATAAATATCACAAACTGTAAAGTAATTAACAGCAGGTTCAGAAGGTTTAATGACATAACACTATAACATATAAAAGTTAGAATTAAGTATTCTGTGAAGTTTTAAATTTCTTTCAAAATTTTAAGATTCTTTCATTTTAAACCCCAATGATCATCCCCAACCCTCGATACATCCTTAGCGTAAGCTTGTATGCATATATTATTACTAGCTGACCCGGCAAACGTTGTATTGCAAAACAAAAAAAAATTAGGGATGGGTCACCATTTAAAGGTATGAAAAATAAATGTTGGCCGATTCTCGGACCTACCCGATGTGCACACAAAATTTCATGAGAATCGGTCAAGCCGTTTCGGAGGAGTACGGGAACGAACATTGTGACACGAGAATTTTATATAAGACTAGCTGACCCGCGCAACTTCGTCTGCGTCTCTCAATAGTAATAAATTTTCTCCGTTTTTGAAACATTCTTCATTGGTGCTCCGCTCCTATGGGTCTTAGCGTGATGATATATAGCCTATAGCCTTCCTCGATAAATGGGCTATCTAACACTGAAAGAATTTTTCAAATCGGACCAGTAGTTCCTGAGATTAGCGCGTTCAAACAAACAAACAAACAAACAAACTCTTCAGCTTTATAATATTAGTATAGATAAGACTTACTGGCGCCTTGGCTGGCGTCACTGTTGGGTACGACGAGTCCATGCTTGGGTACAGGCGGGGTTTTGCAAGCGAGACACAAGCTCGCCGACAGAGGGTTCTGTAGGGTGCACGAGCTGCAAGACCTATAAATATTTATAAGTTATTGTTTTTATATCTTTATCTGTGTAATTGTATTGTTTATTTTATAAATGTATGCATGCAATATTTTTAGTCATCATCAACAGCCTTGAGCAGTCGACTATCACTGCTGGGCTGCCCTTTCTTCAGAAAGGAGCTTTGGTCTGCTATACCGCGCCGGTCAGACGGGTCGGTAATGGGTTTGTGTCAAGTTTCCTTTCTTTTTGGTCCCTCAGTCGACTCTTACGACACCCACGAGATGAATAGGGGTGGTGACACTCCGTATTCTTAATTTGTCACCACACGGACAGGTATATTTGATACATCTAATGCGGAGGGTTAGACCGGTCGTTGGCGTGGCGACTTGTCGCCACGCTATGTGATAGTACATGTAACTTGTGATGCGGTATGGCGACGCGTCGCCATGCGCAAGAGTGCAAATATAGTAATTACGTATTTATTTGATGCATTGTAAACATAAAATATATCGATGTATCAAAATGATTCGATACATCGATTGGCAAATATCGATGCAGTAGTCGCGCGCAAGGAGCATACAGACCAGTGCGCGTGGTCGTGCGGCCGCGCGCCGGCGCAGGCTGCGCAGGAGGGCGCGGCGCCGTCGTTCACCAGCGTGCAGCGCGCGCACGACCACGACGCGCCCGACGGCTCCGGCGGCTCTGGGGGCTCTGAGGGGGGGACTCTCACTTAGTATATAATACCTCACTATTCTAATTCAAGTTTTTTACGAAACGCCATAAACGTATTCCGTCTATCTAATAAAAATTAATTACCGATAAGAACATGATGAAAAATTATATTATTATTATTATTTCTACCGACGGGTGAGATTTAGTGATATAGAACTCACCGACTGCAAACAATAACTCATCACTGTTCAGATCATGGTCGAGAGAAGCGATAGGTACGGTCAGCTTCTTAGGCGGCTCCGTGCGATTGCACTCCGGCTTGCTGCTACTGCTGGCTTCCGATTGGATGGTAGGTCGCGTACTGAACAGAAAAATATTCACATACTAAAAAAGATTATTTATAATTACAGACTCAAACTCAATACAACTTTAATAATTAAACTTTTTAAATATGTTTTTATTGGAAAGAAGTTCCTTACCGCGCGTTACACGCTCTTAGCGGATAAGAGCGAGACCGAAAAATGTGTAACAAGACTTTTATGCGACACTTCAGTTGGCACGTCGACGCCTTTTTCATATTTTATATATCAAACGTCTACCAAAAAAGACAGGAACTTAGTTCCGGCCAGAGGTCCATAGACAACTCACGCCCTTTTTAAATGTGCAACATCTTTTCTTCCTCACAATTACTTACTGTTCTAAATAGATTAATTTCAAAGACAGTCGGCAACAGAAACATTAGGATCTCTCCTAATGTTTCTGTCGGAGACATGCTTCGACAGAAATGAGACGGCTCAACCGAAGTATTATCAAAGCCTCACAGAAAGGCCGTGTTAAACGATTTTTTCGTGGTTTTTCAATAAGACCATAGGTCAATCCATATACCTAAGAGTGGCACAGGTGGCAAGTCTCTTGAGTTGAGTGTCAAAAGGTAATAGTAGTGACCTCTGGTCATTTGCCCCCTTTTACACAAAAAAATCGTGACAAAACTGACCAAGTATGATCTGTATTTATAATGTCTTTGGAAATTATATTTTATTATAATGTCTAGAAGTCCTATTTTGATCACAACTTTTGTAACTGTTTTGTTTTTACAATACAAATATAGATCATATGATTGACATTTAATTGGCGTTGTAAATAATAAGGGTGAGGCCAATCGATAGTAATTTATTATTTGAATTGTAGGCGGCGCAAATTGAGTTGTCTGCTGACTCACGCGCATTATTTAAACATGCATTTCCGTTGAACATGCGCAACTCAAAATACGAGACTCACGTATGTCAAAATTACGCTCTTTTGACCTTACCCTTGACCAGGCGAGTTCACATATAAATACAAACCAACCCAGGTTATTAGTTAAGCAGAAAGCAAGGAAGCCGATGATTAGCCCGCACTGAACTGTTCACCAATCGCAACGTCCAACGCGGTCACCGTGACGATAGAATGCATGCGAAATAAACTTACAATATGTCCTCAGAACCAATAAAAAGCAGGGTTAGTATGGTGTAATGTACCTATTAGGATTCCCGTCAACGACATCCCTGGCGGCGAGAGTAACGGCGGCGTGCGCGGGCCGCCCGCTACGACACACGTCGCACCACCGCGCCCACCACGCGTTGTACGCGAACCAACACTCCTTGCATTGCCACATGCGGTTCTCCCGTCTATACAAAACCACCAATGTATACGTATACTCATGTTGAACGTGACAACAGTGGCACTGCTAATCATACACTATCTTATTGCTATCAACTATACAAGTTACTATTTTTGATTTATGTACGAGAAAATGAATGTTTCTACTAAAATAATTAGATTCAAAAAAGTACCATTGAAATCAACGTTCCTAAATCATGACAGTGGACGAATTTTTAAATCATAAAGACTGTAGGTAATATGTTTTATATGCGTCTGTTTATTTTAATCTTAAATTATTGTGACATTCTATTGTAATGTCTTTTTAACTGACATAAAATGCACCTCTTTTCATTTAATTCATAGTTATAAACACATGATATATTGACATTCTTAAATCTCTAAATATGAACAATGTTGTAATTAGGTTCCTAAAGTATGTAATTTATAAAATGTTAAGTATTGCATTGCGAGAGGTCGATAATGGAGAATTACCACATTATGATATTACAATAATCTTTGTACCTACCCATTATTACAATAAACTACTTTGAATTTGAATTATAAATTGCAATAAGCTGCACTCGTAATCCCAAAATTTTACACATTAGATGTGGAATATCTTTTTTTCAATTTAAATGGGACTAAGTTGAGCACTTTTAATATTAAAATAAACTTGACAAAACGGCAAAGAACGCACACACAAAAAAAAAATTGTAGGAATTAAAAATCTCTTTCTTTTTTGAAGACGGTTTAACAAGGGTGGATAAAAAACAACAACAGCCTATACAAAGATCAAGGGAAAACTGGGTGGCACCCGCAGCGAGCCCCGCAGCCAAGTCGTACCCGACTTTCAAGCTTTCGCGTTCAATGATATGTAATTACATACATATACTTATGTACCGCAATTAACATGATCACGTGATAGGCATTACAAACATTTAACGACCAGGTTAAACTGGTCAGCCTGTAAACACGGGCAGTGCAATCTGGTCAAAATAAGAACCAAACGGGAATCAGGTACACATACTCTATTTTAAACTTTAGTTTTATAGTTTGTTAATGGCAGCGACTATTTCCCTGTCAAGAGAAAATAGAGCCTTTAGTTACTTCTAAATCAGATTAATTAAACCCACCACCATAGTACACCATTGTTATACCAATACCATGTATATATACCTCGCACATCTCACACACGGCCGTCTGGTTCCAAACTAGGCAGAGCCTGTGCTATGGTAACCAGACTGCTGATAAACATACTTATATATTTTGAAATACATATATCACCGGAAAATAACAAGAACCTTCAATATGACGACGAAGATACGACGAAACGAGATATAAATTGTATTATTTTACGCCCACATTTTCGCAAATTGATAAACTTACCGAACTCTAGTCCGGTGCTTTCTTCAGTCCCAGACCCGCCTCCTTGGCGAGCTGGTCGGCTCGTTACCCCCCAACCCGGTTAGGTTAGGTTTTCTTCTCACGTTTAGAATCCTACGAAGGTTTATAAATTTCCTAGGAAATCTATACATTTGCGGTTCTTGTTACTTTCCGGTGACATATACATATTATAGATAAATTACACCCAGACCACAGAACAAATGACCGTGCTCATCCCACAATATTTACTTATTAAAGATGAAAGTAATAACGATGAACTTACGTGGCCTGTAGCTGTGTCGAAGGCACTTTAGACGGCTCGCGAGGATTGTGAGATACTTTTCCCACGGACGGCAACATATTAAACACCTTCGGTTGTTCCCGTTGCAGCCCTATATGCGAAGTCCTAATATTCGAAGCCACGTCATTTACAGGCGACATACAATTCTCCGTTCCCAATAGCTCATCTATCCTCGCATAATCACCCTCACTAACGTCATTGGAGTACAAAGCCTCGTTCTGAGAATTGCTCATGACTGTCTTCGTGTCCTGAACAGACACATATGAATACCTAGTTCCGTTATTATTTACTTGGAGCTGTAGATTCAAATCTTTGTATTTTCCCTTATTAGGCAATGCATATATAACACCTTCAGCATTCGTATCCCAACTGCATTCTTTATCGATCACGTCGATGTTATTCTCATCGATTTTGGGGTCTTTCCTGATCTCCGGTTTCGTCAAACTCCCGCAATAATTCGCTAATGACTTCTGATATTCGTTCAAACTTCTCCTACTCGATATCACCTTACCGACTGCTTTTTCAGTGTTGGTCTGCTCTGAGAAAGAACGTCGATACATTGGACGAATTTCGGGAGAATTTGAGGCACTAATGGACCTACGAAAATTTGTTCCTAATGTTGTACTCCCAGTGGGCCAATCTGGGACCGTGATCATGACTCCTCCAGAAGTAGGAAGAGATGTAGCGCCATCTCTGCCCATTGAAGTCTCATGTCTACCTAAAGTAGTCACACTAAGTCCTCTTGAATTAGGAATCCTTGCGAGAGGAGAAACCCTAGGTGACAGGCAAGCTTCACAATGTGTCCTTATGCCTGAGTTCTCCAGAGTGCACTTACTACACGACCACTTCTTCAAGTGTAAACCTTTGCTCTGTTCTTTTTGATACTCTTTGACGTAATTTAACTCCCAATTCGATTTGCTCTCATTACACTTCTTCGGTCTTCTTGTTACAGTGTGAAGGCTTCTCAAGAACGACTCTCTAGGATTTATTTGGCCGTATCTTTCCGAAACCATCAAACTGGTTGGCCTGTTAATTGTACCTCTGGCAGTTTCGTTAACGTTCCACCACTTTTTCTGGGAGTTTATAACGGATCCGTGTGACAGCGATCGGGTTACACCATGCGCGTGATCCGACAATTGCGTAGGAGAGAGACGGAGGGATTGCAAGTCGAGGTTCAATCGACGGCCATCTGAGTAGCTCGTTGTGGGTTTATATGATGATGGGACAGCAAGGGTGTTGGACCTTATCATAGTGTTGTCTTGAGCAGACTTTTCTTCGTCCGTCATCCCTGAAGCTTGGTCCTCATCATCAGATAGCCTGGAAAAAATTAAATTATTTTAAGTTTCACAGCGGTCAGTTTATGTGACATCTACCGAGTATTAATTTATCCTACAGGAATAAATTTTCCTCATTTTCCCAACATTTTTCATTTATACTCGGCTCCTTTTGGTCATAGCATGATGTTATATACCTAGCCCGTATCCTTCTTTGATAAAAATCCAAAACTAAAAGAATTTTCGAATTGGAACCAGTGGTTCCTGATATTATCCCAAACATACTAACTCAATAACTTAACTTCTTTATAATATAAGTTTAGATGATTTAATACCCAAGATGAGTTATGACTGAATTTATCCTAGTAGTACACCCTTTGCTTTTTAAAAGACTTTTAAAAGCAAAGGGTGTATGGGCATAGAAGGTTCTTTCTTTTATCTAAAATTTATTTTAGTACTAGATATTACTTTTTGCGTTTGTTACAGGTTGTGCACTAGCACAAACCTACAAAAGGCACCAGTTTTTCAATGTTCAATGTATTATTTTTTGTTGTTTAATGTTAAAAACAATTGTGATAAGACTATGAATTATAATTATTATTAAACACCTGTTTAGTTAGGTTTATTCAATGGACAAATTATGTGTTAAGTAACTTTTGCCCGCGGCTCCGCCCGCGTGTATGTCCGTTATTTATTTACAAATGGAAATTATTTAGCACTAAAAATATATTTATCATATAGGGAACATTAACTGCATATCTTAATTTAGAATAGTACATGGGAAGGAAATTGATCATAAGGACTTTTGTATAGACAGACTATTACACGTGGCAAATGGTTGATCTTAACTCAATTCTTGACACAGCCTTGGATGGTCATATATTGCAGGAATGGTCCTAGTGGGTTACTAAGAAATGATATTGAATGTCGGAATAAATCAGACCTGTAGACTGGCGCATGTGGCGCGATGACATCGCAGGCAGCGCAGCGCCAGGCGGCAGACACGTTGCGCAACCCGCATGCGCACCGCCATGCGCGTGATCGCTCCGGGGCCGAACCCACACACGACCATTCGCTGTGGGCGACAAACTATACTAAAACATCTATGTAATTAGCTCGCCGTCGAGGGCGAGTTGATGTTAAATAAAGGCTCACAGTAGGCCCTCTGCATACATCTACGAATTTATAAGTAGAAATTATGTAAACCTTTTTAAATTGCCTTTAAAATCCGTAAGACAGCTCCTGTTCTGGTATTTTCATTAATTCCTTGTAAAGAAAACTACACATAGCATATTATAATAAGTTAAACATAAACTAAATTAATTTCTGTGACCATTATAAACATAACTACTACAAAGTGTAGTGAATATCCACAGAAACGGTCTTCACTAGTGATTAATTACTCATTTTACCATTTAATTATTGGATTTATGCCAACAAGCAATTGTTCATGCACAATAAATAGTTCTAATGTATCCGTGTGGTGACGGATTAAGAATACAGAGTGTCACCACCCCTATTCATCCCGTGGGTGTCGTGGCGACTAAGGGAGCGAAATACGCAGGACACCAGCACTGCAGAGAGAAGGAAAACTTGACACAAACCCTATACCAACCCGTCTGGCCAGCGTGGTATAGTAGGCCAAAACCTCCTTTCTAAGGAGAGGCCTATGTCCAGCAGTGGACTGTTAAAGGCTGTTGATGATGATGAATGCACAAAGTTTATAAATAATAAATAACACAAAGGTTAAACTTATGAAATTGCTCAACTGCTCAACATGGCTGATCAATGAAATGAAACAAGATATTCAGAGATAAAGATTGTTAGTTATACGGTCTAAATTGGATAAACCAAGGTGATTTTGGTGACACAGTTCAGTACCATTTACTTTAATAAATGACAGAAGATAAAACATATAAAACTTAATTATAGTGGAAATTCAACCACCGGTTGATCATCACACATAATCACATCAACAGCCTTGAATAATCCACTGCTGGATATAGGCCTCTCTTTAGAAAGGTTTTGGCCTACTATACCACGCTGGCCAGACGGGTTGGTATAGGGTTTGTGTCAAGTTTTCCTTCTCTTTGCCGCTGTTGTCCTGCATAGTTTGTCCTCTTAGTCGGCTTTTACGACACCCAGGGGATGAATAGGGGTGGTGACACTCCGTATTCTTAATCCGTCACCACACAGACTGATATCTAATAATAACTGTGTATACCTAAAACATAGATATATGCCCAGCCATCAATTTCAATAGCTAATTAATTATTTTTAATTATTAATAATGGATTAATTAATCCATAGATAATGTAATGAATACTATCTGGCACTGAAATTAAAAGCAGTAGGAATAGTAACAGAATTGTCTTTGAAATTACATGAAATCTCAATGAAACAATTTATCTGTTGTATAGTGTTCAATACCTTATTAGTAAACGCAAATAGTGATTAAGAAAAATTTAAGAATAATGTAGTCACACAAGTTAGGTATTCAAAACAATACTGGCTATTGCACCCTAAAGTTATGAGCATCTCACGGGCCACACAACAAATCTGCTCTGTTTGTGATTTTTTATTTTCAAGTTAATTTCATAAGTTTAACCTTTGTGTTATGGGGATTAGAACTATTTATTGTGAGTGAACAATTGCTTGTTGCCATAAAACCAATAATTAAATGGTGAAATGAGCAACTAATCACTAGCAAAGACCGTTTTTGTGAATATTGACTACACTTTGTAGTAATTATGTTTATAATGGTCACAGAAATGAATTTCATTTATGTTTAACTTATTAAAATATGATAAATGTGGTTTCTTTACAGGGACATTGTCAATTCATGAAAATCGCGCGCTCAATCACATAACAAAAGTAAACGACGATCTAATACTAGCTGTCATAGTCACAAAATATCTAATGAATACCTGAACAGGAGATGTCTTACTGATTTTAAAGGCAATTTAAAGAAGCAGCACAACCTGATTATTCAATGATATCTATCGAACTGACTCCATGTATCTATTCTTCACTATACAATAGATTGTCATCAATACGTACCTACATACATGGTAGAGTTACGTCGCAGACAATCACATTTTTCGAACAATTGATGACAGACAAATACAAAAAACTGCACGATAATATCTAATTTACTTAATGAACTCGCTTCCAGTGCGCGCAACAATGTAATACAATGGAAATATAACCTAAAATACAGGTCACGAAAAATCGATATTTTGCTGACAGAAACTCACAATGACTGTGGCTATTATTGAAAAAAAATAACACACCTGTTAAAACAGTTTTCTGTTGGAATGACGATTGGTTCGGATCCTGGTGTAGTTCCCTCGCTTTTACCAGTTCTTGATGTGTGTTCCGGGGAAGAATCTCTGCAATTTCCTTTAAATGAACCACTGTCATGACTCGAAACCCGCTTTGTGCCACATTTTAAACACTTTACACTTTCTGTAGGGTTGATCTGGCCGCACGTCTGACAATGCCATTGCAGCACTGATGCGATTGAACCCATTTTAATTCATACATGGCTATGATACCATAACAATTCGTGGTTTTACGAAAATAAATTTAGATTTAGGAAAAACGAAAACAGCTGATCCACCATGTTGTTTGTGTATAACTTTTTTTACATAGGCACGCGACGCCCAACATCTCGGCATTGTTAAACTTTTCTCGGTTTTTTTACTTAAAAATAAAATAAAATTTCACTAACTTGAAAAAATATAATCAAATCATTAATGAATACTTTGAGAATAATTATGTTTACACTTTAAAAATAAAGAATTCACAAAAGGTTGTCAAGTGACATCTCACGTCTTTGAGCCGAGATACAAACTTCATAAATAACTTCTAGGTGACGCTAGTATAGGTAAAGTGCCACCTTAAATTATACAGATGGCGTTGCTACATAATATGTGTTAAAATTATACAAAATGAAATGGACACACTGGAGTTATGAAATGGAAACATGACATAAATCAGAAAGAAAAATCACACAAACAATAAAATCGGTGTACAATATTGTTTACACTATCAATCATGCATAATAATTTAAAAGCACAGAAATTTCGTATAGTAGTCATTCGTATCAATATAACTGCAATAATTTTCAAAAACTGGCAGCAGGAATATTCAGGGATTGTTGCCGCTGATAAATTGTGAATTATCGTTATGCGTTTGCAGGGATAAAAGATATCATAACGGCTTTTATACAGTAATTTCAGGGTCTGATATATCGCGAAACATCCCGAAATGAAGTTCGAATCTAAGTTTAAGTTCTATAAGTACCTTTTGTCATTTTTAAGCAAGAATCTATTTCTCTCAAGAAACACAAAAAGAAAAGAAACGTCTACAAACAGTAACAGAGAACACTAGCAGGTAGCCAATGTCAGGTAGCAGGTGTCAATATTTTACATGAGTGATTCTAAAATATACTTATCTATTTATATTTAAAATTACCTACATTGACCTTAGAACATTAATACGTGTGGCTTATGTGTTAATAGACCGTCAAAGCTGTGTAAGTAGGAGTGCCATCCAAAAAATAGTGTCCAACCGTTGGCAACAATGTTCCTTTCCGCTGCCGCTGTCGCTCGATTTCCACGCACATGAACATAATAATAAAAAAAACATATATTTCGACACTCTCAAGGGAATCAAAATTAATAGGATATTTTCCGTTGACTTAGAACTATGAAATTTGGCAAGTAATAGCGTCTTATACTACAAGTATAAGGTAAAATCTGAAAATTATACATTTGTAATTAAATCTTGTACCTACGAATTTGTACGGAAGTCACGGTGGGCGAGTCCGCCTCGCACTTGTCCGGTGTTTTTCACTTGTGAGACTTGTGAGTTCGGGTAGTGCGACACTCCTGTTAGACTTAGGTATATCTAACGTAAGAGTACGCAATAGATCAATATTCATGGTATTTAATACCCATAGTTTGATTGGCAGCCTCTCTCTAGCGTAAATCACGAAAGTAGGAGAGCAATCATTATGACAAAAAAAATCTGTACAAGTGCGAGTCGGACTCAACCACCGAGGGTTCCGTACACATTTGTAGGTACATATTATAAATACACCCCGCCGCAAACCCCGGGTGGGGTGACGGCCCGTTGGGGTTTCCACGAGTTAAAAAGGAGTTTGATTATTTTACAGCTTCAAGGAACCGTAGACCTGAGTGTATGGTTTTAATTTCAACTGGATACCTCCACGCATTCCCGTAAGAAAGAGTCTTAACAGACAGACGGACAACAAAGTGATCCTAAAAGGATGCCATTTTTTCCTTTTAAGGTACAGAACCCTAAAAAAAGACTGTTATCCATAAAGTCTTCTGTTAGATTGTTCAACAGCTCAATGTAATAATAAACATCTTATCTCCTTACTTTAAATTTAAGTGTAAAATTAAAAATAAGCTTGTATAAAGGGCAGTAAAGATTAAGATCGACCGATCTAAGCCTCTAATGGCCAGTCCAGTCGAAGTGCAAATCACCGTATTATGTAAGTATCATAACAAATGCTTACCATGTTCACAAACCATTAAAGCAAATTGCACATTATAATAATACCCGCACACAAACGGTCGCATTCCGCTGCGTCTCAATGATAGTGGGGATTCGTTCATTTTCATAATCTTATATCCAATATTACTATTAGTATAGAGAATGCTATGATTAGGAAAATAGTTCACATGTTCTTTGACTTAACTCCAATTAGTTAGTACCTACCGTATAGTTCCAGCCATCTTACCAAAAAAAAACTGGTTTAAGGAGAAGGAGGGGTATTTCTCAAGAGTATGTACGTACCTATATGTTGATGGATTTTGACTTAAGACGTGTCGTTGCATTTGTCTTAATTAATTAATAAATAATAACCTCACACATCTCACACACGGCAGTCTGATCCCAAATTAGGCTGAGCCTGTACTATGGTAACCAGACTGCTGATAAATATACTTATACATATATTTCTAAATACATACATATTATAGATAAATTACACCCAGACACAGAACAAACGATCATGCTCATTACACAAATATTTTTCCTGGGTGGGAATCGAACCCACGACCTCCGGTTTAGCAGTCAGGGTCATTAACCACTAGACCAAAAGGCCCGTCAAAATTCTGAGTGACATATGATGTATAAAAATTAAAGTTAACTTGTTTGTAAATGTTAAATAGGTACCTATATATTTTTACGTAGTCGGCTTATTAGATGTTCGTGTGGTGACGGATTAAAAACACCAGTAACCACCCCTATTTATCCCGTGGGTGCCTTAAGAACAAACTACGCAGGACAACAGCATCGCAAAAAGAAGGAAAACTTGTAACAAACCCTGTACCACCCTTCTGGCCAGCGTGGTGATGGTACGCCAAAACCTCCTTTCTAAGGAGAGGCCTATGTCCAGCAGTTGACTTTGAAAGGTTGTTGATGATGATAATTAGCTTGTTTGCAAGTGATTTTATCTCAAATAGGTACACTTGCTTCTTCCGCTTAAAAACACCATAAAAAGTATAACAGTTGAAATTTAAATGATAAACATTCAAGGGGTCAATATGTCCGCTAATAAACCAATTCGAGTGTGAAACACAACCGACGTTAACAGAGGCGGGTGTGTCTGACAGATGCACATTATAATTTAAGGTTACATTGGTGGGTCTGCACGGAATGGCCTCTCGTATCCACTCAGTAGTACGAGGAATGGACGTTGTCCGTAATTACTGGACTAATTTGTGTTTATGGTGCTAGAGAGTGAGTTACGAGATTTCTATCCTTGAAGGTGTATTTTTAGTTTCGTTATCAAATTAACTCGTTACTGACTGCCTCGATGGTGCAGTGGTAGCGCTTGCAACTGCTTTGATGAGGTTTCGGGTACAATTCCCTGGTCGGACCAAATGTTTGTGTGATCTGCAAAATTTGTTTCGGAGTTTGGGTGTTTTATTTATTTGTTTATTTATTTAGGACAACTTACAAAACATACACTAATACATAGTTTACGAACATGTTTTACAAATATTTGCAGAGTGTTGTCTTACTTACAAGTTGCCACGGCATTTCATGGTTTTATATGTATGACATATCATACATACATCTACATGTATTTAAAAAAAAAGTAGGTATTAAGTATTCTATCAGTCAATCTAGCTTTCATAGTTTAACCTCTGCTTAGTCTGAAACCAGATGGCGTTGTGTGTCAGATATCCGAAATATTATAAAATCATTATTATTATTATAAAGCGTGTTATAGTGTTGTAGTTGTAGTTTTGCCATTACTGTCTGTGTGTTCTTCTGTTTCCCACCCTTTGAATCCCCATCCTCAGAATTAGAGGAAGAAGAAGGGGAAGTTTCGGCCTTCGGTAACTCACGCCAATCGGAACGAATAATTTCTTCAATTCTATATTGAAATTATGAAATGTGAGTTATATTAAAATGAATATAACAAAAAAGCCAACGTATTTAAAGTAACATTATTTAGAAAAAACAGCAAAAAATATGACGGGTAAGTAAGTTTCATAGCGCGATACAGGTTCCGCTGTAATTCGGGTTATATACGCTAGATGGCATCATTTAAAACGCATCAATTAATTATTGAATAGTCAGATAGAAAAAATCAACATTAAAGTGTGGTATATTATTAAATTTTTATTTAATTCCCACGCATCATAATACGTGGCCAAAAAAGTATAATTAAAATACTTGTTTTTTTTTATTTATATTGATTATCCTAATTAAAAATAATAAATTTGCTCATTTATTGCCTCTAAGACGGAAAAAAGTTCGGTCAGTATTATTAAATTTTCATTTAATTTTGACGTGATAAAGAATTTTGTTGCATTTTCTTTCCTATAAATAAATACGATAGATGAATAGGATTTCTTCCAAGTCGTGACGAGCAAATCGATTAAACATCCCGGCCTTTGTAGAGCCACAATGGTCAGTCCCCGTCATTGTGTACAAAATGCCTGTATTAGCAGGACGTGGGTCTTACAAAGAAACTCTAGAACTAACAATTTGCTTCGAAGTTTCTTGCTTGTCATGGAATTTTCATTTTAAATATCATTTTGATCTTTTTTTTTCATCCCGACCACTAGGATAATTGGCACTCCACCACTGTGCGCTTTTCAAGACAATTTTTTTCACCCACTACCAACCCGTGAAACAAATTATCGACTGTTGTATTTCCGGACCGATACGACCTTCAAATCTTCAAGAAAAGAGCGTACTCCTTCCTCAAAGGCCGGTAACACGCTTGTGTTTCCTGAGTTGCAGGCATTCACGGGCGGCGGTAGTCGCTTTCCGTCAGGTGAAAAAAAAATATCGGTTGTCTGTAAAGTCGTTTTACTGACGATAGTTGAACGTGACAACGTCATAAGAAAATCCTGATGGAAAGGTTGCATTTTTCAAACGAAAATTTTAATTACGCTTCATACTTGACGTAAACATGTAAACACTGCTGCTGCTATACAATAGTATAGCAGCTGTCCACGCGGACGCATCGATGACTCA